CAAATTCAAGGGTGCCATATGCAACCATTGTCACAAAAAAGGCCACATCGCTAGAGTCTGCCAGGCCGCGCACAACTCAGCACAAAAGGTTCCTTCCTTTTCCCATTCTGGGCCTCAAAGGCAAGTACTAAATTGTCACACTTGCTACCATGCTAACCACACCTGTCACTCTATTAGTAAAATAACACTTTCCATTTTATTAGAAGGTAAACCTTGTCGTATGGAGGTTGACACGGGGTCAGCGCTCTCAATCATCTCTTGGAGCACCCTCAAGAAAATCCAGCCCAGACTATCCAGAAACCAGCTCCAGAAGTGCCAGATCTCCTTGAGGGATTATCAGGGAAAAGACATTCCAGTGCTTGGCAAAGGCAAGTTCCTTGTTAATTTTAAAGCTTTTAAAGGCCACCTGCCTCTAGTGGTAGTTAACGGCAACCTCCCCAGTCTTCTGGGGCTTGATTGGTTCCCCTACCTCGGCCTAGGGTTAACAGGAGTCCATGCTGTCTCAGCTTCTGACACTGACTCCTTATTTACTGACTACTCAGACGTATTCAGCAATGAGTTAGGGTGTTATAATGGTACCCCCATCCCATTTGCAGTTGACCCCCAAGCGGTTCCAGTCCGGCTGAAACCGCGTAGAGTCCCATTCGCCATTCGGCCTAAACTGGACGCAGAGCTCGATAAATTATTAAAACAAGGGGTCATTGAGCCGACAGACTTCGCCAAATGGGAGACGCCAATTGTCACACCCCTTAAAAAGGATGGCAGCCTGAGAATTTGTTCAGATTACAAAACAACAATCAACCGCTTTCTACAAGTTAGCGCATACCCAGTCCCGGTCATTCAACATTTATTGCATACCTTTGAGCCTGGCAACATTTTTGCCAAATTGGACATGTCACAAGCGTATCAGCAGTTCCCTGTTGACAACCAAACAGCCGAACTGCAGACCATTGTGACCCACAGGGGTGCCTTCCGGTGCAAGCATCTCCAGTTTGGCGTAAGTGTTGCCCCGGGCATCTTCCAATCCCTCATGGAGCGTATACTACAGGGCCTCCCTGGCGTAGTACCCTACTTCGACGACATATTGGTCTCAGCCAGGGACAGACCCCAACTTTTCCAGAGAGTCAGAGCAGTGTTAGACAGGTTCAGACAGCATGGCCTCAAATTAAAAAAGGAAAAATGTGCCATTGCCACTAGACAGGTGGACTTTCTGGGCTATAGAATTGACGCCTCAGGCATCCACCCCCTAGAGTCCAAGGTCAAGGCAATTCATGAGGCACCCACGCCAACCACTAAAGCCGAGCTACAAGCCTTTTTGGGATTATTGAACTTTTATGCATCATTTCTACCTCACAAAGCATCAGTAGCAGAGCCTCTACACAGGCTCTTAGATAAAAAAGCACCTTGGCACTGGGGACACAAGGAAGACACCGCTTTTCGCGCAGTCAAATCACTGCTCACATCTGACGCAGTCCTTATTCAATTCGACCCACACCTTCCACTGGTACTAGCCGCGGATGCATCCCCTTTTGGGATTGGCGCCGTATTAAGCCATAGACTACCCAACGGCTCTGAGGCACCGATCGCCTTCTTCTCCAGAACACTCTCAGCAACAGAGCGTAACTATAGTCAGATAGACAAGGAGGCTTTAGCCGCAGTGGCCACGGTTAAGAAATTTCATGAATTCCTATTTGGCCACAACTTTGAGCTAATAACGGACCACAAGCCTCTCCTGGGTCTTCTTTCCGGAGACAAGCAGACTCCCCAAGTGTTGTCTCCCAGAATGATGAGGTGGACTTTATTCCTGGCGGCTTATTCGTACAAGCTCATCCACCGCCCAGGAAAAACGTTAAGTCACGCAGACGCCCTCAGCCGCTGCCCCCTGCCAGCTCCAGCAGAAGACCCGGCCCCGGTCCACACCATCTTCGATGTCACTGAGCTCGACCTTCCTGTCACCGCTCTCGACATTGCCACCAAATCCAAGACGGACAAAACCATCGCCCAGGTACTGGACTGGGTGAGGAGGGGGTGGCCGGGCTCTAACCTCGCAGCCGAATTCACACCTTTTAAGACCCGTCAACAGGAACTGTCTAGCATACAGGGCTGCCTGTTGTGGGGCACCCGGGTTGTTATTCCGGCCTCACTTCGAACACCAGTCTTAGAGGCACTACACGAGGGCCACCCGGGCATTGTCCGGATGAAGGCGTTGGCACGGAGCTACGTCTGGTGGCCTGGCTTGGACGATGACATCGTCAAGTGGGTAAGCTCATGCCAACCCTGCCAGGAATCCAGACCTTCCCCTCCAGTCACCACCCCCACAAAGTGGGAGAGCGCCAACGCGCCTTGGTCAAGGCTACACATTGACTTAGCGGGTCCTATACACGGCAAAAACTTCTTGGTGGTCGTAGATTCATACTCAAAATGGATCGACGTGGCCCAACTATCCACGACCACCACGCTAGCAGTTACCAAGGCTCTAACTCGCCTATTCGTAACACACGGGCTACCAGATACCATTGTTTCGGATAACGGCCCCCAGTTTGCCTCAACAGAATTTAGCCGTTTCGCCACAAATCTTGGCATCCGACATATCTTCACGGCCCCCTTCCATCCTGCCAGCAACGGACTGGCAGAACGAGCCATTAGATCCACAAAAGAAGCGTTGGCCAGATTCAGCAATGAAGATTGGCATCACAGACTCTCCCGTTTCTTGCTTAGTCAACACTCGACCCCTTGCATGGTCACCAACAAATCCCCTGCTGAACTTCTAATGGGTAGACGCCTAAGAACTGTGTTGGATAGGCTCCACCCTCACTATTGCCCTGACACCCCTCTCGCTTCAATGACGGGGGTCAGAGATTTTGTCTTGCAGGAACATGTATTTGCGAGGAACTATGCTGGAGACCCACTGTGGATTCCAGGAGTGGTAGTAGCTATCACCGGCCCCCGGTCGTACCGAGTCCAGCTGGAAGACGGCCGCATCTGGAGAAGACACCTGGACCAGCTAAGGAAGCGACAGGGTACCTTCGCCAGCGTCGGATCGTGGGCTCAGGTCGACCCTCAGGTGCTACACCAAGCTCCCGTCGTAGACCATGCCAGAGCCTCTACACCACCACCATCCGGACCAGGGGAGTTGGCAGTAGACCGGGACTGCCCGATGGGTCCGCCACCGGCACCAGTAGACGGGGCCACGACATCGCCAACCAGAAGCACTACACCGGTGCCTGTGCAACCCTCAGAGCGAGGCTGCACCCCATCACCAACCCCACCGGGTTCCTTGAACTCTGAGACACTTGGTAACTCACCAGAGTTACGACGCTCGGGGCGCCAGCACAGACCGCCCGCTTATTTAAGTGACTATGTGTGTTCGCATCTGGGGGGAAGGGGTGTTATGTCCCTGGAACTTGCCAAAGTCCCCACCCAGGTCCGTTCATGCTGCGGGGGCGTTTGCTGCCCCTCATTGGCTGGCCTCCCTCGACAGCCGGCTATAAAAGCCAGCTGCAGGGTCCGGCCAGCCGCTGATCGCTGGGAGCCTGCTCCAGGCAGAGCTAACACGTTCAGTCCTTTATTGCTACAATAAAGTCTTGTTGCATCCATGCCCTGGTCTAGCCTCTCATTGCTCAACTACAACAGTTAGCCACCACTGGTATAGGGTATCCTGCTTGAGCAAAGGATCGGACTAGAAGATCTCCATGATCCTTTCCAGCTCTATCCTGATTCAGTTTCAGTTTCCTAAATGAAAGAAAACACTTTTAAGTGACCCCTTACCATTTACTGTTCAGTAGTTTAAAAGGGATGTTCTTCCGGGTCTCAGCGAGGTCTCTGTTCCTATCCCATCTGCTGGAACACATGGAGTTCTGGGATTAAAGAGAAATCAGTTATTTACAGTCCTATCCATTCCATCCTCCCTATTGGTTATTTACTTAATTGTTAAACTGTTGAGTGAACATTAAGCTCCAAACAGTGTTAATTAAGCCTTCTGCAATGCCCTCTGCTCTTACTAATGAATTGGTTAGTTATTTCTCTTACGAAGGTACTTTATTTAATTTCTTTGGGGAGAAGATGCAGTCAGGACACAGCATCAGCATTGCTTTCAACATTGCTTTATGATGGTTCATGTCTAATCATATCAGGGAGTCAGAAATGCAGCAATACCTGTGCACTTCCACAGCACAATCAATCACTTCTGGGTTACAGGATAGTTCAAACCAGCCTTTTTTTTTTCAACTTAGCAATCTGTGTTTTATTGCCTTGTCTAGCCTTTTCAAAACAAATATACCGGAGCTGTGATGGCGCAGTGGTTAGAATGCAGCATTTCAGGCAAACTCTGCCCATAGCCAGGTGTTCAATCCTCACTGGCTCAAGGTTGACTCAGCCTTCCATCCTTCCGAGGTGGGTAAAATGAGGACCCAATTGTTGGGGGGAATGCTTTGAGTAAACTGCTTTGAGAAGATTGTAAAGCTGTATATAAGTCTAAGTGCTATTGCTAACTGCTATTGTGGAGTATTCAAAATCAGCATATCAACTTTAAGTGGCTTAAAATACTGGAAGCTGTTGACTTTAGTATTTTGCATTATTCTGGTGGCCTGATTTTTCTTGGATGATAAGGATGGGTATCCCTTTTCTGAATCGTATGAAAACTTGCTTAATGGGTAGACCTCGACTTACAACCACAGTTGAGCCCAAAATTTCCACTGCAAAGCAAGGCAGTTGTTAAGTCAGTTTTGCCCCCATTTTATGACCTTTTTGCCATGACTGTTAAGCAAATCAATGCAGTTGTTAAAGGAATCATGCAGTCATAAAGAAAATCCAGCTTCTTCCATTGACTTTACTTGTTGGAAGTTGGCTGGGAAAGTCACTAATGGCAATTGAATAATACCAGGATGCTGCAACCATACATTCTGGTTGCCAAGCACCTAAATTTTGCTCACATGACTTGGATGCTGCTGCAACGGACCAGTTGTAAGTCACGTTTTCAGCACCATCGTAACTTTGAACAGTCATTAAATGAATGGTTGCAAATCTAGGCCTACCTGTGTAAGTTGGAATCAAGAGAATCAGCAACTAGCATTGGAGCCTCCATCTAACTCATAGGTTCTTTAGTCTGTTCCTGAAAAGATAAGGAACACTCTTGCAGCCTTTATTTAGTTATGGCACTAAGAGGAGAGGGTTCTTATTTTGTTATTCAATTGAAATATATGATTATGGCTTTACAAAGTTGACTTGTTGTGACGCACAAATGCACTTGGCTCTGATTGTATTAAGCTACTTTTGTAGCGTGGGTATTTCTTAAAGTTATTTACACTATAATATGTGGCCCTAGTCGTTTGCTTGATTTAATATAAGGATCAGCAGCTTGGACTTGCGCTGCAGTTCTGACAATTTCTTGCTTTGCAATTGGCTGATGGCAGCTAAAAATCTAACAACTAATATGTTTAAATTAGGGGCAATTTACCCTATTTGCCTCCCAGGTTTAATGGAAGTATTCACAAGAAAACAAATTTGGAATTTAAACTCCCTCCCTCCCCCATTATAATTACAGCTTTTCTAACAAACAACAGCAATAACATAATCTGCCGTAAGTTAAACAAGGAAAATAAAATGAACTGCAAAGAGACAACTTGTTAACATTTACATTTAAAAGACAGAGCTTCATTAAAATTGTGGTCACTAGGAAATACACACAGGGACCCATTCCTGTTCTGTGATATTTTATCTAGTCATTGACATTTTCTAGGAGCAGCACATTGTTCCAGCAAATTAACCAGCCAGGGATTTTCCCTATTCTTTTTTTTAAATATTTGTATTTATAAAGAAAGAAAAAGTATGCAAACCAATTATAATTCACGGAAACAACTTTTTAAAAAATCACGGAGAAGAAGGATGGGATGTGGAATGAGAGAAGGAACAGGAACCAAATGTAAAGAAAGAGAAATAAACCCCCAGTTAATCCTATTTTGTAAAACAGCACTAACATAAAAAGTGACAATCATAATTTAATTTACTAATCCATGAGAAGGCATATTGAAAAGAAAAAGCATTATGACAAGAAAATTTATGTTTTCAGCAATGAATAAAAAAATTGACCCAAAAAATCATACCAAGAACCTATATACTCCTGGAAAATACACTAAGCCAGGGTTGTCAAATTCCTGGCCTGTGGGCCAGGTGCGTCACATGCTGGCCCCACTCACACCTGGTTTAGCGAAAGGGGAAAAAGTTACAATATGTCATGTGACGCCGCCATGACGACGTGAATTTAACACCCCTGCACTAAGCTGATGCTCCAAAAATTTGGAGTTTAATTTTGCAATGAACAATTCCATTCCATTAAAATGATCCCGTTGGCCATTTATGATAGGCCAGATGAAGAATAATATATGAAAAAGAAAAAGGAGATTCGATATATATGTTTAGGACTGTCTCCCGAATTGGGGTGGGAGATTTGAAGATCCTTGTCCTATTCTGCTGCAAATGAGTGGGATTTAAGCCCTCTTGTTAACTTACAGCAGGAGAGAAGTTCGGCTTGCAGTAGCCCAATTCAGAAATGAAAAGTAGAAATACTGTAGATTCAGTGGCATTCAAAAGAGATATAATAGAATTATGTTATTGATGTAACGCTCATTTGCTAGGTAGAAACCAGAGATAAGTTTGGCTCCAAACCCTGCGGGCTTTTCATAAGTCTATAAAAGCCTGGCTCTGGGCTCAGGCTGGGAGCCCTCACTGTGCAGGGCCCTGTTTCTTGGCTATTTTAGCGATTACAATGTGTGATTTATTCTCAGCTGCCATGCGTTTCCATTTTTGTGTTGTTGCAATTGTTTTTATTTTATTTTTTAATTATGTTCACTGCTGAGATGGGCTGGCCTGCAAATTGAAATAAACACAGATGGCTATTGTATCTCCCTTCTACCTAGAACTCAATATATAGTAACAGTAGCAGAGTTGGAAGGGACCCGGGCTATCAAATTCCCAGTCCATGGGCCGGATTCATCACACAGTGGCCACACCCATGCCCGGTTTAGCAAAGGGAGAAAAAGTCCTGATACGTCACATGACGCCACCACATACTGATTAGATCAGTATTAGCAAGGTTGTTGCATCCTATGACCTCACTTCATAGTTAAGGCATTTTAACAAAAGAATGAAGAAGACTGGCATTAGAGTGAGATTGCTATTGATTTCAGTATTTATATTTCATAGCTCCCCCCCCCCATTTTTTTTTTTATACTACTGATCTAGTGAATATTACCAAAAAAGACATATAATAAATCTATTAAAGGACTTCAAGACTTATACACTGTCCCTCTAGAAATAGATACTTTGGATAAACAAAATTTGCCAATGGCTCATATGGAAGCAAATATATCCAAATAGATGCTGTTGACAGAATTTATCTCTGATTAAAAACTCACACAAACGTGTGAAAGAAACAGAAACTTACATTTCTGAAAATTTCATACAGAATAAAAAAGGGTTACAATGCCATAAATAGAAATGACAATATCAAGGAGACACAGATATGAGTTGATATTCATAATATTCAAATACTTTGAAATTTTAATGTTAATAATATAGGTGTTCTATTATGATGATTTTGATGTATAATATTATTACTGTCTTACCATGTTTGAATACCTTTACTGCTATATTTCCTGATGAATCTGAATTCACAGAGGAGGAAGCTCCATTATTACTACTAGCAATAATAGTAATTGGGCTTTATACAGTTCCCGTTTTCCCTACAGACTCAGCAGTTAGTTTCAATCTGTGTTTACACAG